GCCTAGAATCATGACACCAGGTTTCAGTGAGTAAAATCATACCGGCTTAATTCAAGCATATGAATGTTCGGAGTAAATGAAGCTTATTCAACAGAGGACCTGCATTAGTATCATCAGTTTTAAAAAGTCCTGACGCTGTTTATCATTCCACACAGTATTTACCCTTGCAATCATATTAGTTCCAGAGTCTTCCGTAGCAAATCCGTTACCGCTAGATTCGACAGTCCTATTGGGATTAGACGGGGAAGGGGAATGGGTGGGGGAATGCAAAAAGCAGGCTGTGGTAATTTGGGGTGATCAAGTTTAAGCGCTCATAGTGGGCATTGTGAGAGGAGGAGGCGGGAGAGAGTATGGAGAGAGGCAGAAATAAGTGGTTTGTGTTTCAGCAAATCTATGTAGGCCTGTAAGGAGAACAGTCTTGGCACATCGCCTGAACCATGGGGAAGTGTGAATTGTCATCTGTGTAGAAGCATTACTACTCACGACTGGCGCCGGCACACGGGGAGTCGCCATACCATAGCCCAAACGCCATTGTGATCCGCTGCTAACCAGGTCAACACGAGTATCCCACCAAACGTGTTCATCGTCCTTCGGTCTCCACCCAGAGAGCCGGGATGCTCCAACCGAGGCCAACTTCGAACTAAGGGCCTTCATTCTTCTTGACCAAGTCATCGCTGTTCTTCCATCCACACCCCGGGCGCGCAAACAACGCACGTCGAGGAAGTAGGTGGGCTGAAATGCGCAACACGTAGCCCAGCCATCGGAGTCTGGTGCGTGAAATAACGGTGCTGAGCCGTTCGTTTCTTCTTCCTGCCCCATAAACAAGGCGCCAAACAGGTTCACTGCTCACACGGTGTTACCATTAGATATGAGCCAAACTGCGAAGGCACCGGCTGTCGAACGTAACTAGCCTCTTTAGAACAGCTGATCTAAGGGGTCAGATTTCACAGCCGTGCAGTAGGGTTGAAGGTACGGCTGCACTGTATACTCTGCACTTCAGGAAGAAAGCGATGTCCCGCAGGCGCAATAGGTGGCAAAGGTTAGCAAAAGCACCTCGAGCTTTGCTATACGGTTGGTGAGATCATCTTCAATTCCAACGGCACTGATACAACTACCTAGGTAGCTGAACTTCTGAACGACTTCTAGCTGATCCCCACCAAGGGCCAGCGCAGGAAGCGATCAGTGCCAAGCTTGAAGGAAAGCTTTGCACTTGGAGGGTGCTAAGCGTAGCCCAAAACAGGCGCCAATCAGTGCTAAGCTATCCAATGCCGCTTGGCACGTTTGGGAGCCGTCACAGATGAGAGAAGTATCGTCAGCATGCTCCAAGTCAAGAAGTCGTTTACCTGGGATCAGCTCCACACATTCTAAGTGGTGTCTTGTGAACGCGATTTTCGTGGCTTCGTCAATAGTGAAGTTGAAGTAGAAAGGTGACAGCGGGCATCCTTGTCTTACAATGCCGATGATATTGTAGGGTGGCGACAGCTTGCCGTAAACCCTCACTCTGCCCGAGCTAGGCGCGAAGGTGCTCACATAATATTTGCATACTTCCTGGGCACATCTTTCCTTAACAAATAGTCCCAAAGGGTAACTCGATCCGCTAAACTGAAGGCACCATTGAGGTCGAGGAACAAGAGAACGGTGGGCCGCCAATATATGTGACAGTGCTCCAAAAACTGACGTAATGTGAATACGTTGTCGATGCATCCCCGACCATGACGAAACTAGGCATGCTGCCCACGAATCTGACTTGCACAGTAGCCAGTCAATCTGTGAAGGATTACAGAGGCAAGCAATTTGGAGGCGATGGGGATCAGACTGATTTCTCTATGATTGCTACATTCCGAACGTGAGCCTAGAGTGTACTCCGGAAAATGGTATCACAAACTAGAGCTTTTAAAAGTACGAGGAATAAGTATAGATCAAAAGGTGTACCATAAAATGTCGTTGAGGCAGAGCGAAAAAGCCACAAGTGCATAACTGGGCGATTAGCACGCAGGTTCGCTCAAGGTCACGACGTTTTGATTGAGGGGCTTCGTAGCCTAGCCCATAAACCGCTCAAGGTGGATTGGTTGAGAGACTAGGAAGGTTTTGCTACGGAGAAAACTAAATAACCCTATAGCTGCTCCACATAATGTTAAACTTAGACGAGTGAGAGCTTGCTCGAACTCCACTGGAATGCTCTATCGAGTGAAAGCGAAAGTTGGATCGGACGATTCGTATAACGCAACTCCGTGCTCGTGCGTATCGACTAAAAATCTGTTCGGAATTTGCAATTGCCGATAAATGTGACATGCACAGGTAATCTTCCCGAGATAGCGATTTCAAGAGACGGTACTCCTTAATTTAGTCCAATTGCTGTAAACGTAGTGATGTGCGATAAAATGTGACGGTGTAGATTCAAGAAAACGATGAATAAACAAATCTGCGACCAGCAGGTCATAGGGTGTTCGAAAACATGCCATAACAGTTGCATGTGCGTTTTTGTTAGCTAAGTGAATGTCATTGCGCGAAGCGCTGTATCTCAGGAAGTTAATCTCAGACGTTTTAAACAAACGCTTTCCGTATTCAGGAGAATAGCAAGTCTACTGTAAAGATGGAGGACTCTACGTAAACGCGCGACATGTTATTCTGGTGTGAGACCGAAAACCCAAATAACAGCCAGGTGTGCACCCTGTCAGGACTTGCTGTGGCATTAAATAGAGAGTGTTCTCTAGTGATAGTTTCAAACGCAGGGACGCAATTTACTTAGTCCGGTTTCCACCATCAGCTCAAAGTAGCAAGGTAGATTGAATTGATAGGGTCTTCGTGCGCTATCAAAGGAGCAGCGAATTTAATGCAAAATACAGCAATGTTCAATGATCGCTCACGTCCATCGATCATATCACCTAAAATGACCAATCGGTAGTGAACGCAGCTCCAAGGATGAGAGTAGACAAAGGCTTTACTTTCTGAGCAATCCTTGGTCCTTTCACGACAGGCTTTCCGGGTGAGTGGCTTTCATTCAGTACACTCCGTTTCCTGTGGAATTCCATTTTAATAGGACGAGTAGTCGGCCTTGGTACTTTATGTTCGGATTTTCTAAACCTGGACCTCTCTCCCAAATTTAGTTGTTTCTTCCCCCATCTCGGACGTATTTAAAAACCAGTTGAATGTTGCTCTCGGCCCACATCACTTCGTTGCCTAAGCTGTGCTAATTCGGAATACATTAATCAGGCCTTGTACCTGGACTTATGTGTTACATAGACCTAAGGACTGAATGAGTATACATGTTTTCATGTTTATTTTTATTTTCTCTCTGAGTAAATCAGCTGTACCTGCTTCCATGCAGTCTTGTTTGCATTCAATTCACATTTTTGCTGTTATTCAGCGGCATATTTGCTCCATCTAGGTTTAAACAGATGACTCACACATATTTTGATATTGTTGTTTTACCTCTATCATCCTGTGCGACTTGTCAAGCAACGGCTAATTCGCCCGTGACGAATCATTTTCTATTGTTCATGTAATTTCTCGAAATAAAACTATCCTTGCCGGCAATTCACTGTCCTTTTTGAGCTTGGCTTCTCATATTTAACCTTCAGGTTCTATACGCAACGGAGACATTTGCTATGGGCATGAACATGCCGGCGAAAACTGTGGTTTTCACAAACACACGCAAACATGATGGGCAGGTTTTTCGTGAAATTTCCTCTGGAGAATACGTCCAAATGTCTGGTCGAGCCGGGCGTCGTGGCAAAGACGATCGTGGCGTCGTGGTCATTATGTTGGATAGCAATGCTTCCTGTCGCGCGACAAAAGAGTTGATTCTAAGCCAACCTGAACCACTGGATTCTGCGTTCTACATGAGAAACAATATGGTCTTGATCTTTTCTCAGATGAAAAATCTTAGTCCAGAACAAGTGCTTGAAAAAAGTTTTTATCAATTTCAGAATCGCTGGTTGGAGGGACGTAAGTATTAACTAGGTGTTGAAACTAGAAAACGCTTGGTGACATTCCTCACATGGTAGATAAATCATGTTTGCATAATTTAACGTTTTACCAGCTTGGGTGAACCTCGTGTCTTCCGAATGACGATCAGCGGCTTCATCCCACCTTTGTGAGTTGTATCATTATTTTAGTTCGTTTTATGTGAACTTCCTTCTGCAAAGGGTTTGGATCGATGAACTTACAGGACCGAATAAAGTGGTTGCGCTGGCGCACAACTTCCTCATTTCCCAGCTGTATGCCAGCTTCATTTTTTGACCTGGTGAGCATGTTTCACGGCAACCATCCCTGCTGGTGCGGAAGTTAATTGTACACCTCCCGCTTTTAGAACAAATTTTGAGATTTGGTCTGGTGCATGTTTGTTCTGATGCGCGCGCTGTTGTTGGAAACGCGTGGTCTGACTAGAAATAGTACATTTAGCCTCGTGTGTGTAGGTGATGTCCGAACATCATTTTCTAAAACTTTGGTCGATAGATTTCAGGGGTGTGGTACAGTTCACAACAAAAATCGGTCAAGTCTGGTGTGCAAGGAGTCTTGGTCTTGCTGAAACAGACCAGCTTCAAGGATTGTATTGCTCTTTGAACAAAGTCACTGGATGTTGGCTGATATGATGTGGAAGTCAGGTGGTGGATGTCTTTACCCTGCAGCTACCGTCTGGATGCTTGTAAACTGTAATCTGGAACCAAAAATTATGGTACACCCTCTGTGCATAGGCTGCATCATAGTGGTCTCTTTACTAGCGTTGGGGACACCACGTAGGTCCATCCGTTTGGAATGTCACCAGAAGTAACGACATTCTTTCCTTCAACCAGGCCGGATTAGTCAGCCTATGCACGTTCCCATGGACCGCAGAGTAGCTTCCAAGTGTTAACTGAACCGGTTGGTTTATCTTTCTTATTTTACTGGCACATATTACGTACAATCAAACTATTGCATCACCCAGGCTGCTTCCCCCGCACTGTGACAGTGAGAACATGGGCTGAGTCGAAACCAGAGTGTCTTTGTCTCAATAGGTAAATGAACAAAGAGGTAAGATGCAATTCAACGAAATTCTCGCGTTTTCTTACCTTGAGCTGAACTTAGCCAGTAAACGGACGTACTTCTGAACTGCATCTCAGGAGAAGTTAAATTCTAGTACGGTAGATTTGGGCGCTGGGTTAGAGCAGATTGCATTGACGCGGTTCTTGCTTAGGCTAAGACTGCAGTGCCTGCGGTACAGGTAACTTGTAAGAACGTGAGCAGTTGGCACGGTTTTGGCAAATATCGCGGATCATACCAATGGTTGCAGAACGCACATGGCTCACTGGCCCTTTGGGTAAATTTAACTACGCATCCCATCCGTTCCGGGTAGATTACTGTTGATATATGAGGTAAGGTAGGTAGTTCTATTGAATTGCAAATCTCTGAACCTGGCTCCACGAGTGACCCCTGGGTTCAGCCGCAGAGATTCACCTGAGACATTTTGAACTACTACAATTGTGGGCTTCACTGATCAAGTGCCAATTGTTTCCTATATCCTTCGAGAATTGGCCGTGATAACAGCCACTTTTTCTAGTTGCAATGACACTGGAATATAGTCACATAGTGCCACACATGGTTTTCTGTTCCCCTCCATTGTTGTACCGTAAAACCTGGCCCTTATGAGTTTGGAACACGTTTGCAACCTTAGAGTATGTACGCGTCTGAAATTGAGCGCCCTTTGGCAGTGATGCTTTTTGTAACCGCAATCTCAAGCAAAATGTCACTGACCACTGTTTCAACACGTTGTCCGGAGCTTCCGCTTAAGCACATCTCGATTCACATTTTTATCGGCGAACATCTGTGCTACAGATGTGAGGCTTTTCTCTAGAGTCAAAATTTTCAACCGTTTTGGTGATATTTTTCATGTTGATCGATCGCTGGCATTCTGATGTAGTTTCCTGTCATATCAGCTTCGGTAGCTGTTTTCGCTCTAATTAGATGTCCAGCTTTGTGACAATAACGCAATTAAGTGACGCTGTGACTTTTCAAACTATACTTGCAGTCATTGAAGTGGGGATTTCATCTGATCACATGAATTGGACATAATTGTTCAACACCTCTGTCGTCAGAAAATGTAGTCGCACCGCTGTGATCAGAGATGTTATGCCGGGTCAAGTGGTTGTTCCTAACCCCTAATGGTAATGAGAACACGAGATGAGCCGCAATCGCAGCATATCTGTCTTACGAGACATATGTGTTTTATGGAAAGCAAGGATAAAAAGGTA